ATGCCATCATGAGTAGTAGGAAGCCGTTTGGGGCAGTGTTCAGCAACCCGAGCAGACAGACATCTTTCCATACGCTCAATGTATTTGTTTCCACAAACACATGTAAATTTATATACACATTTTGATATGGCGAGGTTTGATGTCTTATTTTTGCTTGTTGCTCGTAATATCCCTTTTGTTGTCTTTAAGAACATATTAGCTGCATAATAGGGTCGTTTAAGTGCTTTCTCCAAGCGACGTTTCACCGACTGAGTTGTGTTATCTCCCTTGAAAAATAACTTTATGTAAACCGTTTTAGAAAAAGTCTCTGATATTGCTTTTCTTTTATTGTTTTTTACATACTTATTTATAAACATTACTGAACACCCATTTCTCACTAGTGCCTCCTTCAAGAAGAGCGGCTGATAAGAAGATGAGAACAGTCAAGTCTTTGAAGTTATATTATATGATACAGACATGAAATTGTAGGTAATAACTTATTTCCTTAACTTTATTCAGTGATACAACGATATATTTATTCTTGAGTGTCCATTTTATTTATTATATTACTAAAACAAACGGTTCGTTATGGACTCAGATATGCGTCAAAAAGGCTCATAGTTTTCGTGAGGGTTAGCATACTGCTCGGAAACCCAGGGCAAAGTGTGTGGTTGTCTTAAGGTATCACTGAGCCTTCAACGTGAAGCCTAACTCACATGATAGTGGACCAACATCAAGAGCTTTGTTCCCACGACATCCGGTGACCAAAACGGGTTTATACGCCACTCGACCCTTTCGGATTCTGGGATCCATGTGTACCACAGTTTTCGAGTCAAAGTTTTCCGGACTACCTAGGTAGACCAGCATATCCACCAGCCCCCAGTTGTAGGCGTCAGTCATTTGCATTCATCTTTTAACTTTTGTAAGGGACTCGGCCCCCGCCAATGCATGAAGGCAGAGGCTATAAATGCATAGTCACATGGGAGCATTACGAGAGGAAGACAGAAGTGTACCCAGCATCGGCTGTACCAGGTGGTTCTCATTCTTGAATATGGGGACATATGGTTTATTTAGGCATCAAGACTTGATAAAAAAACAATGTATCATGCGTAATATCGATCATCACCACAATTGTTTCATGCTAAATATATGAAATATGCCAAAAAAAGTAAACACCCAAAGTGACCACATGAATTCAAATGTCGGGTGTCATTTTCGTACTAACAAAAGCAATTATATATATATATATATAAAAACTAGGAAACAAAATAAAGTCAAATACTAATGCCATATTTAATCTGTTACTAATAACTAATAACAGTTTCCAATTCGTAAATGTATGTCCCAGTTCAATTGCCCAGAAGTTTCATGTATTAGGATACGAGCTACACGCATCTTGTGTGGGTTGATTATGCTACGCAGTTCTCCAGACAAATTGAAGTAGATGTACCAGAAACATATGACCAGTTGGCTGAAACCTAAGTGCTTAAGTGGATGAGCTACATTTCCACTAATTTAATGTACACTAGTCTTCCTTCTCATAGCGGCTTACATTCAAAATTCCACAAAATATGAATCGGTCATAACAAACTTAAAGAAGCTTCTGAGAAACAAAATTAAACTGTCTTACAACCCAGTAACAAAATGCTACAAATCTGATTATATGCATCCAACTAATATTTATCATGGCGAAGTTCAACAATAGCATCCCAGCAGTGCGAACGCTCCAATGACCTGCAACGCGTGCCAGTCGTTGGCTAACGGCACATGTAATTATCATAGCTGAAATATTAGTGCTATTCACCAACTTAGGAGCAAATTTCACTCAGATCACGTTTTTAAGTACTGTTTGGAAAGTATGTTAATATCTCGCTAAGGTTAAGATAAGGGTTAAGGTAAGTATTGGGGTTAGGGTTAGGATCAGGGTCATAATTAAGATTGCGGTTAGGCTTAGGGTTGTAATTAGGGTTAGTGTTAAGTTTAGGGTTAGGGTTACGATTAGGGATAGATTTAGAGGTGATGTCATTTATTTTAATTTGTTTTATTATCCACATTTCCCTGGTAAGTAGTTGTCGATCCTCTTACTGGAAACCATAGTAATTCAACCGAAGGCTTTTGAGGAAGACTGCATAACAGGATAAGAGAGATAAACGATTCACAAAAACAGCTCATCTTCAGTCACCTCGGTGAATACATGTACAAAAACTAGTCTAACTTGGCAACTGATACTTTTCATTATTGTTGGGACGTATTTTTAAGTCATGTCAGAGAAATATGCCCTGTTTAATGTGTTTTCCTGCATTTTCTTGTAAATATGCGTCACTTTTGGTGCAAAAGTCACTTATTTTTATGACTGGTAGGTTCAAGGACACTTGTGCGTTTGCATCCCTTGTGATACTGTTGTTGAACTTCGCCTTTACTATCATACCGCCGCCGTGGTCACCATTCTTAAACCCATTGTAACTTGTTTTACAGCAAGCTTATGAGTAGTGTTTTGCATTAGTTCTAATTTCTGGTAATAATGCTAAGTTATGACCAACAGCTTAGTACTATAACATCTGCTAAGAAACTGTGATGATTCTGGAAAAAAAAGTTTCTAGTTTTGTTGTTTTCCCTGACCTGGTAGTTCAATTGCAAAGCTGTTATTATGTTTCTGGGGGTCTTCAGGGCTAATTTTTATATATGTATATATATATATATATATATGAGCGATGGTAACACCACCGAGCAGTTTGTTCAACTCCTCATCGTTGCGGATGGCCAATTGCAAGTGACAAGGGATTATACGGGTCTTCCTGTTGTCGCGCACGGCATTACCAGCCAATTCGAGTACTTCGGCGGCCAGATACTCGAGGACAGCCGCCAGGTAGACGGGTGCTCCAGCACCGACACGTTCAGCATAGTTTACCTTGCGTAGAAGACGATGTACACGACCAACTGGGAACTGAAGACCAGGACGGGCAGACCGAGTCTTTGCCTTCGCTGGAGACTTTCCACCTTTACCGCGACCACTCATGATTGTACGTTAGAGCAGAGGAACGTGTAAGAATTCTCCAAAGATAAAATATCCATCTTTCGTGATACTCATATTCACTGGCAATAATCAGACATGCTGATGGAGAGTAAATTTAATGATCAGTAGTGGAGACAACATACAACAAAAATGGTCACATATTGTGTCAATGAGTGGATAATTATTAATACAAGTGAATCCCAAGGGACAACTGATCAGAATTAAGGTCACTAGAAAAAAGGCATATTTCACCCAGAAAGAATTCCTAGCGCTGAAGATGTATGGAAAGATGCTGAAAGTCTCACAAATAAACTACACAGCTCAGAGGACTCTGTAACACTAAAAAAATCTACTTGAGCTACATGTATTTCTATTTTAGAAATGAAAGGACTAACAGCAGCACGTAAATTACTTCTAGAACCCATACACTGTTACTTTCATTCATCAAAAACAAGCCAATACGTGCATGCTGTTACAATAAACTCTTGTTTTTATTCTGTACAGAAACACGGTAAGCAGCCAACGTTAAAAGTAGCACTGCCTCAAAAAAAACCTATAGCTGCTGTTAAAACGGGAATCTTAGCAAAACTAACAACCACACACAAATGATTCACTAAGAGAAGACAATTCAGATGATGGATCAAGCACCATGAATAAGAGTCTCGTCGACACTGCTTTCTGATGCTTGATTATGGCTTCAATAAAATACTGGCACTGGGATGAGAACTTCGTCGAAACTGTAAACACCTTAAGATAACAGATAGTGGCTTGTCCAAATAAATACAGACTGAATTATTAGTCGGTTTAAATAAGTTACTAGTCTCAGGATGACGGTCAGATACGACCACATACCACTAGTTTTATCATTTCTAACAACAGAAGAATTGATCTGGTGAAACCAATTTCTAAGGTTTCGATAAACGCTAACGCTAATTAACAAATACATGCAAGTTAATGAGTTTGGAGACGAGCCACACATATTAGTACCTGACTGTCGACATCACTGTTGGTAGAATCGAATTCCAAATCATTAACCACTGAGTCGCAGACATTAAAACCATCCATAATATGACTCTGAAAGAGTAAGCAAAAAACAGGGTGTACCCTATGTCTGTAAGTTGGATACACTTTTTACCCAGTAACAGGAAACGGGAACAGGTACTGACACCTACCTCCAGACACCCTTGTAAAGGCTATGTGGGTATTTAATCCCACTGATAAAGTTATTTCACAGCACACACTTAAATATTTTTACGAAGAAAAGCTATTAACCACATCAAAGTTAGTGATGGGCTGTTAGCTGAAACTAATTAGTGTGAAACAGTAGATAAACAGCAAAACAGTACATTTCCCAACACATAATTTACTTTTAATAATAATAATAATAATTTGCTTTATTCCAAAACAGTACTTGTGATACAGAATGGAATTCTCAGCATTTTTACTACAGTATTGCATCCAGTTAGTACATTATCAATAAATAAAATTCTACATAGATTAAGGAAATCTCAGTTCATTATGACAACAACATATTGGCATGTCGGTAGCAAAGCCAAAGATGAACAGTGTTTGAAGGTGTAAGAAAAGTAGGTGCTATCATATTTACTGGCGTAAGCGAAAGAAAGAAGCAAAGCAGCACATAACAGAAAAAGGAGAGAGAGAAAAGGAAAAGAAAGAAAGAAAATGTTGTGCCTATAAATGATATGGGTTGGAAAGACGAGGTCCAGTTGTTCTACTGACTATTTAATGAATTATAGGTGTCACGCCTTTACATCATGACTTTTAATTGCCTACAGAGTAAAGTCAGGTGGATATATTTTTTCGACTGTAACTGTAAACAGGCCAGTTACTATTCAATCAAATACAAAAGCTTATGAGCAAGTGCGAAATTTTACCAGAAAATACGGCCACAGAAAATGGCGTGAACAGAATGGTAGTCAACTTTAAACAATAAGTTGTAAATTACGCCTAACAGTGCAAAATTCAGTCCACTTGAAAAGAAGCTTACGCAGAGATTTCCGGATTGACGGCTAACTACAAAACGATCCACGATTTCAGTACTTTGGCCTTCAAACTGAATTCGCGCCTTTTTGTAAATCAGTTATCCTCAACACTAACAGTAAGAATGCATAAGCGATTTCAGCCCTGGATTCTTTACCAGAGTATTTAAATACTGTTTATGCCGAAAATAATATATTAGAAAAAGATATTTTACACGAAGAAATAATAAAATCGATCTCTTTTCTTTTGAGGACGATACCAGAGGACTAACTGGAGTAAGGATCAACTCCATTCACAGTAGTAACAGTTTTAGCACACCTCATACTACTAACCACATATAATTAATCCCAGCACTACTCCTTTTGGAATCAATCAAAGCTACGACAGTCGAGTGGCGGGACGAGCTACGCAGACCTTTACCGAAGATCAGGAACCTATACCTCACAAACAAGAGGCGAGCACAAAGAAATCAAATTCGTTTATGCTAGCTCGTAGAAAACATATTGGATATTGGATTTGGTTCATAAGCCGAGCGAATTCTTGTTTAGCACCTTAATAATATGTATTTGAGTTTATGTCACTTTTTCACTTGAAGAAATATCAGACTTGTAAGTTCCTTTCAAAACTCATGGCAACGTAGGAGAAGCAGTTTAAGAGAAACGGAATCTAAGTAGGTTTTTGGCAGAGGAAAGTATGCAGTTGTACTGACATTAAAAGCCCAGTATTAACGAGTACTGTCAGACAGACTTTTCCTACCGAAGACAATAAGCCAAGTGCCCTAATCATTTGTCGCGCAGCTGCAGAGTTCAAATTTCTCTAGACTTCCAAGTAGCCTGTGTATGTAACATTCTAGGAAATACAGCAAGCCTTCTTACTTTGAAATTTAACAAAATCATTGTCATAGCTATCTCCGAAGACGGAAAATGAAATGCCTACGTGAAATTATACTTCTGGAGTTTTGAGAAAAGGTAGTTAAATATCTATAGTCTGTCTTCGTGAAATGGACCGTGTCAGTTAGAAAATTGATGGAAAGTAATCAGCAACTAGAATTTTCCGAGATGATCAACTTTGTATAATCTCAATAAGGAATATTGCTCAGTGGGTCTGGACAGCTCGAGAAGAATAGTAGTTAAACTTTTTATAGCACAGTTTATTGCATGTAGTAACTGACATCCACTTGGTATTGATGAAGTGTGTTTCATATGGAGACCACATAGCTTCGAAGAATCCACTCTTCTTGACATCAGCGGTTGTACATGAAGGTGGATAGAGGAGGAGGCCAATGGTCTTCATTTTCGGCACACTAGGAAAGTCAACGAATTTAAGATTTATTGTGCTTGTTTTGTACATTGCGTTGGGCGTTGCAAAATTCTCTCTTGACCACAAACGTATATAGATACAACAATTTAGCGTGTCTTGGATAAAAAGCGAGGGAAAGTTACTGAAGGTGTATGTAGATATAAAGTGAGTGTTTCTCTGGTTTTGTTGCATGTATATCTTAAATGACAAGGAATTGTATAAATATGGGTGCATATTTAAATAATTTCACGGCGTAAAACAGCATTCAACGGAACCTAAATTCTCTACTGCCTAGTTATCAAGACGAAAAACAGGGAGGATCTGTCTGTCGGATCCGAAGTCTGCAGCAAACCAATATTAGAGATAATCTCTACACAATCATATTCTAGCCACTACTGGACGTAAGAAACATTTGAAAACTATATCTTCAAAAACTCATGAACGAATATATCAAAAACGTCGCTATACATGTCCTCATGAATTTGAAAGGCAAGTGTGAGAAATCATCTGATTCCTGCATACCTCCACTTACGTACAATAGTCATGATGGATAAGATAACAGCAGCACTATAATATATTATCCAGCCATCTTGGAGAAAAAACAACAGCACTGTTAATATCCTAGCGACTTTATGAGAGGGAATTGCATAAGTGAAATGTAAACCCAAACACTTTAAAGGTCAAGGACAGTGAAATGCTTATTAAAACATCTGGAAAACTGATTAACTTTCTTTCAGAAGATCAAAAAGCGCTCAAATGGATAATCAACTTCTCAGTGAGAGAATTAAGAGCAAGTGAGATAAAAAGAACTAAAGAAAAAGCCTAACTTCAACTCGGTAGTTAAAAACCTGAAGTCCTTGGTTGACAGGACTGGTGCAGAGTATGCACTAGGCTCAGCAAACAAAACGACGGGCGAGTGAGTGGTGTATACAGAAGCACTAAAACAACAGACAGTAAAGTAGAATCGCAATAACTAGCACTGATGACCTTTGAAAATAATTAGAACACCTTGCTGCTAGGGCGAAAAAGGAAAACTAGACTCTAATTATGTTGGGATCAACTAAAAGGAACACATGCCATGTTAAAAGATATCACCTGATAATAACCCTGACCTGGTGAGAGTAAGGGGGGATAGACTTCTGTCGCGAATTTTAAGAGCTTTACCTTATTCCTCACTGAATAATCTATAGAGATTTCAAGCCAACTTCTGTGTGTCTGCTCTTCTGGATAAATGTAAATTTTTCCACTTAAATTGTTCCACCCGCCAACCTTTCCAACTTTTTTTACTCTTCTTTCGGCTAAGCGGAATGTTTCACAAACAGTCTCGGACAAACTTCTTTCTACTGAAACCACTACATGCATAAGAATACTTTTCAGTTAAGAGTTTTTATTACTTAGCTGAGATCTCACTGCCACATAAGCATGCTTTGGTACGTCCAGTTAAATCACCACTTGCATAATAAGTGAAAAATTGATGAAAGAGGACCAGCAGCGTTGCATATGAAGGGCGTTCACGGTGTGATTCGTTATCCTTGAATCTCCTTTACTCTAGTTGCTCAGGGCTACTATCGGCTGCCGTTCTCTAACACCGAGAAGGCTGCGAAGGGACTTCATGATACAAGTTTAAAGCAAATGGCCATAGGAAGGGTTCCAAATAGAGGCGCCAAGGTTTTGTTGATAACAATGCAATGGTTGGTGTTATCAAAGACGACAATTCATACTGATGCATACTGCCGCTTGTCGTCATTCAACGTAAAGCGAATCACTACTCGGAATATTTTGATCCATCTATTAGGACTCATGCTAGTTTATTTGAGGGGTATAAATGGTATTTATAAACGCATTACAACGATACGCGGATCGTAATGAATGTGGGTCATGGTCAATTAGACGAATTTATATAAAGAAACTGGTTTCAGACGTCGCTAATCACATGAAGAGTTATGAAATGTTTCGACAGCATATCAGAGATTATTGTCCAGTTTCAACATTTCTGATCATATCCGTTTGCCTCCTCTGAACCTCACTGTTAGCTCCCGAAATCTGTGATCTCTATGTTTGACTCTACTTTCACTATGATTGTTTTCACCACCCCAGTCACCTATTCTCAATCAGCCTTAAATTTTAATTATTTCTTCATTCAAATATTAAAAAATTTTTTTGCATATGTCCCTGATTACATTGTATTATGAGTATTTCAGCATGCTAAGAGTTCAGTCTCAAATTCCCGATGCAAATCAACTGAAGACGACTGGTATTAAAATGTCTCTGGATACTGCCTAATGCTACATGTTAGCACTGTCTGCCTCTACGCAAATTAAGGCCCGAATGCTGGTAGTCTAAATAACCAACTATACGGTGAGTCCTAAATAGTAATGAATCCTATCTAACTGTTCTATAACTATAATCTTATGCAGTCAAATCTTTCCAAACAACACACTATAACTTACTACTTATATGTTTAATGCTGCACGATTATGCACTGTTTTCCGAAATTACATTTGTTTATATCTAAAATGTAGACTCTGGTAGTCTATTTTCCTTATACTTTTATTATTGTTCCTCTCCGAAATGCTGTAACAGATGAAACATACATGACGGTCTTCTGAAAGTAGTCACTCATGCCATGACTTCGAATGAGTTGACGAATGAATATTTTTTAGAAACGTTTGTGGCATATTTTAACAGAAATTAAAAATATATAACAAAAAATGAAGCATTTTGCCAGGGGCTTGCACAAAAACGGTGGGAGGGTGGTGATTGCTGGTCAGCGGATATGATGGTGGGGACATATGAGAACCACCCTTATCTGTGGGACAGCACTGTATTGCTAAGGCTCCTGAGTTCGAATGGCTTGGGCAAAATAAGAGAATAAATAAAATTTAAAAAACAACAACAGAAGTTGAAAATTCGCCTAAAGCTGATGTTTAAATAACAAACTCCCCGAATGCAAGTACATGGTATGAGTCCCCTACTTCAGAAGGACACCTATATGTATACTTCAGTAAAACAGTAGTTATTATTAGGCCCTCGCTATTTTTCTACATAGTTCACGCACTTTGACTTTTGTATTTAACTACTATTCAACCTATATAAGTAGATAAAATTATCACCTTTTTTCACTTAAACTTTTTTTCTTTTCGCAAGAAAGACTAGAATTCCGTCACTAAAACCTCAGGGGGAAATAGTATTTTTTAATGAAAAAAACAATAAAAAAAAGAATGAACCCCCTGTTTGTTATATATATTTTGAATTACTAACACTTGTTATATACTTCTGCACCTCTCTGGCGGTTTTCTTGTGTCTTCTTCTCTTTTCAAAGGTACTGCTTTAAACGAAGGCACTGAAACAGTGCCGCTATCCCCAACTAATTCGGAATATTGCTAGCCCACCTGGTGAATAACGGAACCACCTTTATCATGAAATCTGCTGAAAAGTTCAAAGTTGGTCTCATATACAACTGGAAATGTCACAATTATGGTGTACTTACCGGTGACTTTGAAGTTTTATGGACTTTCAAACACTCTATGAATCATTTACTCACAATTACTGTTCATTCTGCATCTCTTATATTTCACGTCAGCATCTGTACAAAAATGCTACTTACCTTCCACAATTAACGTAGTCATTTATAATTCCCGCGTGAAATTGACATACTGTATTTTTTTCAATTACAGTTTAGATTTGATGCTATATCTCATGAATTATTCAGTTGAAAGCAGATCTCGAAAATTACCTATTGCCTTATTTGTACATTTCTTTTTAAATATTTCTCTCAAATTTACCGGCTGGA